GTCGCGCAGCAGCCACAACCTGACGGCCGCCGCGCAGAACGACGCCTTCTACCAGAACCTCTCCTCTGTCAACTCACACCCACACGGACAGCAGGACAGGTATACTCGCTCTACTAGTTCATATTTTCATTATTTTGAGAAATGATATCGTGTATTAGTTATGGTTACAAAATTTTGTCAAAAATGTTCGTATACAGATGGTGGAACTATCGCACGACCGGCAATAGACCACAGTCTGCTCATTTCTCTGCGGCGGGCTCGGAGCAGTCGGAACCTTCGCCACATCAACAGGTAGTTAACAAGATATAGCACGAATAAAAAATTACTTCGCAGCTTGGTTCTGATTTTGAAATTTCAGAGTTTTTTTAAAACACAACGTTATATTTTTCTCCTTTGTTCAGATTAACACTGCTAGTTCTGCGAGTGTTCGAGCAGCTAAGTTGGCCGAGATGTCTGAAGAAGTCACAAGGAGGCAGCAGCAGCAGCAGCAACTTCTATCGCAGCAAAAGCAGCTTACCCTGCCACACCAGCACCAGCATACCCAACTCAACCAGCATCAGTCCCCGCTCGCACACCAAATGTCTCCCCAGCAAATGCAACACCAGCATCAGAATCAGTTGGCCCATCAAGCCAACCATATTCAGAATCAAATGGCTCAAACTGGATATCAATCGAGTCAGCTCGATCTACAATTGAATCAACTGCATCAGAACCAAGCTGGCCATCACATGAGTCCTCTGAGCCAGCAGGGTGCGATGGGCCAGCACCTGGGCCAGTTCAGCCAGAGCCAAGTGCACATCCACCAGAGCGGCGCGCACTACCCGCAGCAGGGCTCCCCGCAGCTGCCCGCCGCGCACCCCGCGCACCCCGCACATCCCGCGCACCCCGCACACCAGCAGTATCCGCACTCGCAGGTGCAGAGTCCGCCCAGCGTCTACCACAATCAACATCAGCAATCACAAAGGTCAGTCAAACATGTTTAGTAACAAATATTCACATAATAAATACTAATAAATCATACAATATCATTTTCTTTACAATAAAAGGTACGATTGGCACCCTCCGGGCCCGCCGTCTCCACAAAGATCTCAGCCACCAGTTGCTCCCAAGCCACAGGTATACATTCAGAAACATATATTATAACATATGTCGTCGGTCAAATTAATAATATATTGAACTGTATCAGGGCCCGCGACGGTCGGAAGCGGAAGAAGAGCAACTACAGCAGTCGCAGACTACCAACACAGTCCAGCCAGAGGATGGTAACTGCCTTTTTAATTATTTTTTTTATTCAATTCTTACCGAAACGTTATTTGTTGTATATCAAAATTATTGAAGGTTTGGTGAAATAGTACACGAATACCATACAAAAATTGTAAAAAACCATCTATATTTGTGATAAATGTGTGTCGGTATTTGTGCTCAGAGCGATACGTAGCGAGCGCGCTAGAGCCGCCCGCGGTGTCGGTGTACCCGGCGGGCGGTGCGGGCGCGGGCGGGGCGGGGGGCGCGGCGCGGCAGCAGCCCGCACACAACCCCTGGCAGCGCGAGGAGCGCGAGCGGCAGGCGGAGGCACGCCGCGCACAAGCTCGCGCACGCAGGTAACCCCCATACCATTATCTTTCAGCGATTCTTATCTAACACTTGCTGAAATATTATGACCTAATTAATAGTTATTTTGTTCCTTACTATTTAACTATTGATCAATTTATTCAGTACTCATAATGTTTGATATTGCAGGGACGCGGCCATAGCGCAGCTGCTGGCGCTTGGTGCAGCCCGCACTCCGGTGCAGAACCAGCAGCTGCGCGCGCTGCAGTTGGAGCGGGACTTCGAGCGGCGCGCAACGCAGCACGATCAAGTAATTTATATATTTGTTATGCCTACTTACGTAGTGTAAATTCCAGAATTGATTTATATTAATAATTTGACATTATTAAGATGTTCTTTTCATTTTGAATTATAGGAAGAGGGTGGAGGTGCAGAACTTTGTGCGGACGAGGAGTGCGACTCACGATCGGTATCAAGATCGCCGTCGCCCGAGCAACAGATGCACCTACAGCAGCAGCAGCAGCAGCT